TTTTATATCTCAAAACCATGTTGTACGAGAATCACTAAATTTGGTACACAGGGGTTTTATGACATGTGGAATGTCACAGTGCTACGCTTTTTGGCGAGAAACCCCCTTAAGACACTTTTTCGTGGCCCCCCTTGTCTTTGGAACCAGAAAAAAAGTTTGATCGCAAATTTGATTTTTTTTTAATTATTAGTTAGCTAGAAAGCCATTGAATTTAGAAACTTTTTTGTCTTGATATTTGTTTCGAAAAACGCAATGTTTTTTAGGAAAATGGCGAATCACGATATGCATTCGATCACATTTTGACATTTTTCTCGAAACATTGCGTTTTACGAAAAAAGTATAAAGAGACAAAAAGTTTCTAAATTTAATGGCTTTCTAGTGGAATGATAATAATTTTTAAGAAATTTAAATATGTGAACAAATTTTTTTGGCTCCAAAGACAAGGGGGGCCACGAAAAATTGTCTTAAGGTGGTTCCCCGCCAAAAAACGTAGCATCACACGATTCCACATGTCATAAAACCCCTGTGTACCGAATTTAGTGATTCTCGTATAACAGGGTTCTGAGATATAAAAAAAAAGATTATTCTTAGGGGCGGACTTCAGGAGGCTGTAACTCCGAAAGAGGGGGTCACTTGGCAAAAATAAAAAATACGGGTCCCCTAAATTTGTCTTAAGAATCTGTGACCAAATTTTGTTGCATGAATTTCGGGACACCCTGTATGCTATATGGGTATTTCTAAGTATAACTCATAGATAATATATTTAAAGATATAGTAGACCCACAATATAAAATGAAAAAGATGTACCTATTCAATTAATAAAGCTGTAGACTGTACATAATTGAAACAATGTACAATATGTTTTGAACCGGCAGTGCATACTAAAGTCAATGCGAAATAAAGAGAAATAAGCTTTTATTTTAAAAGGAATTGTAAGAAATTATTTATTTTTTAATAATACATAGTACGATTAATAAATATACACCTTTATTACTGAAAACATGAAAACTATTAGGTACTATAAAATGTCAAACAACATTCTTTACAGAACTATAAAGAATTTGTATTCTCAGGAGATAAGCTAAGCATTAGGCTTACTATCTGATTATGTGGGTTGGAAGTGGTCTATTTTGGTTGGCAAGAACTTCCTCGGCTTCAGCCTCAGACGGAATTGGCGCGGGTAAGGGTCTGGTATCAATTTCTGGTGAAATTGGAAGAGGAAGTGGTCTGAGCTCACCACCTGGATTAGGGATAGGAAGAGGCCTTCCCACTTCTGGTACTTCTGGAACGGCGACTTCGGTGAGTTGGTCAATAAGGGCGGTCATGTACTCAAAGCAGGCATCGCATGGGTTTAGGCTGATAAGTATCGGCGGGATCACTTCCTCGTTCTCCGAAACTGGTTCAAGTTCGAAATCTGGATTAATCTCAGGGGCGAATTCTGGAAAAGTTGGTACGGGACGTGGCCTGGATACCTCCTCCTCCAATGTATCACCAACGAAGATAGGGTAGTTGCTTAACTCTATATCCGGCCTGGCGGATGAGAGGCCTAATACCAAATAAATTAATCAATAAAATGCAACAGGTATTCCAGTAAAACTTCTATTTGTTGCCCAAGCAGTTCTTTTAAGTTAACTATATACAGTGCTTTTAAGTTAACTATATACAGTGCTTTGTAAGTCACTGGCTGGCATACTATTTCTATACCAGTTCTTCCATTTAAATAAAAGATTTCAAGTTTCATAAATCCACTTCAAGCTTCTTCTGAATTATTTGAATTTAAACTGTATCTCGAAAATCAGTGGCTTTAGAACTTAGATTCATAAAAAATGTTTGATTTAATACTATTAAAATATATCCTGCAATTATTATTATATGAATTTACAGGACTCTGTATAATATTTTAGACTGCGCACATAAATATTTTAATACAAAATATGCAGTATATTACATTTTACACCATCTACTTACCAACGGCTAGCACCAAGGCAATCACAGAAACTGTGAATCTCCTCATTGTGTTATTCTTGTCTTTTGGACTGAAAAATACGGAATGACAATGTCTTTTGTGATTGTACTTATATAGTTCTCTAGCTAATGATTTGTCAATAAATCTCGTGTGATTAGAGCATACTGATTAATGAATGGAAGTTGTAAAAGTTTTATGATGGTAGTACAATATACCGGTAACATCAAATATATTTTTAGAGTTGGAATTAAGAAAACGACGTAGTAAAATAGAGAGTAAAGCATATTATACACATCAAGTTGTATTAAGAAAATAACCAAATTAATATCGCACAGAAATCATACACCATTTTTATGACACACTTAATTATAAAATTAAAAGGTATGTGTTATAGGTCTAGAAATGTCAATTGTGAGTTTTAACTTCTTATCACATATTCAATAAATATATTTCATGATCCATTATCCTCAACTTTTATTCTAAAGTAAGTTGAAATGAATCTTCCAATAAGCCACAGTCAAAGTATTTGTTTTACCTGACTTCCAGGTGACCTTAGAAAGCTAAGCTATCCCCGAATTCAGGTTCAGCGATCCCAAAAGCATTGTACCTACTGGTCAAAATTCAACACATGCCTCAGTTTTTGAATTCATGAACATGAAACTTCGTGAAGCTTACTCAGCCAAAATCACATATTTCTCCCCTCTTTATCTCTGAAACTATTCATAGGATCACTTTGGGCCCATGACAACTTTTGATCAGAAAGTCAAAAACTATAACATACTGCAATTTCAGCAGAATCGACTGGGACCCATTTTCGATTCATTTTCAGCAGGCTTCTTTGTCCATGACAAATTAAATTGCAAATATTCGCACATAGGAATGTGATTTTTTTTTTAATTTATTTGATTTTGCCCTACACCTTTGCAGTGTAGTAAAAAATACGAAAACTAATAATAAAACATCTTTCTTAAAAAGAAATATTGAAAGAGTTATTCGTAAACTAGTAGGTAGGTATTGCTGCTAATATGCGAATAGTGGTTTCCATGTTTTCACGGTCCGCGTTGATATTTAAACTACGATGGGTTTTCGAGTTGTTATACTGTGACCTATGTACCTGGTCACCATTAGTTACAGAATTCCTTTCACATCCTTAGCCTCAGCTAGGCAACTTTGACCTGACTTTGTCGTTCTCGGGTTAGGTTATGTGCGGGCGGAACCGTTATCGAACCCGTAGGCCTGCCCTGGTGTTCAATTCGGTACTTATTTGTTCGGAACCGCTCCTTAGATAATGGTGATCAGTTGATACATTCCGTAGTGGCAACTGTAACTGGTCGCATCCAATACTTCCAAATGTTTCATCGTTCTCCACTGCCGGTATCTACAGCGGCGACTGCAAATGTTTCGCCCTGACTGAGCATTAAGTCAAGGTATTTATTTTTGTAGATTCCCATTTTAATTTAACTAATTTTTAACTAATAATTACGTTTAAAATGGCCCGTCAATATAGTAACAACGAAATAATGAGCATAATGGTAACGTATGAAAATGCTAATGAAAACTAGACATATTTTATGTATGCATCAACATTTGTAAGTAGAGGCAGAATTATTGGTGGGGTAAGCACTTCCAAAAAAAGTTTTTCCTATCATCGTGGTAAGTCAGTAGGTATTTAAAAAAAAATCTATTTGCAGAAAACAACGCTACCAATCGAATTTTCAGACATCGATTTATTTACTCTTTAAATATCCTTTCCAAGTTTACAAACATCCTGTACAGTTTTTAGTGAGGAGCAGTAGCGATATCAACCATAGTCTATTAAGTTAGTTTATACATTATGTATGTACAATGATTAAAAAAATCGACAATTGACAATTAATTACTGAAAATCAAGTAATTTTGTGAAACGTTGACATTGGTAATCAACTGACCAATATTTAAAAACTAATAGGTAGCAATAACCTTGCGTATTGTCGGTTGCTTATTTCCCAATCTAGTCTGATTGTGAGAGCTGCCTCGTAGAGAGGTAAAGAGGTACAAATGCAACAATTAAATATTATTTGCAAACTCAACTTTTATTAAAATCTAAATTACTTGCATTTTTTCCTTACAACCTTATTTACAACATAAAATTACTGTTGGATGATCAACGGGAGGGGAATTGGTACGACTCCAACTTCTGGAGCTACTGGAATTGGCAAAGGTCTGATTCCGACTTCTGGAGCTACTGGGATGGGGATAGGATTAATCTCGACTTCTGGAGCTACTGGAATAGGGAGTGGCCTCATATCTTCTGGCACGGTTTCGGGAAGTGGCCTTCCTATTTCTGGTACTTCTGGTTCCAGTTCAACTTCTGGCAATTCTGGATGTACTGGGACCTCTGGAACAGCGACATTTGTAAGTTGGTCAATAAGGGCGGTCATGTACTCGAAACAGGCATCGCATGGGTTCAGGCTGCCGAGTTTCGGGGGAGCTATTTCCTCGTTCTCTGGAACTGGTTCAAGTTCGAACTCTGGATCAATCTCAGGGGTGAATTCTGGAAAAGTTGGTACGGGACGTGGCCTGGATACCTCCTCTTCCAGTATATCACCAACGAAGATAGGGTAGTTGCTTAACTCTATATCCGGCCTGGCGGATGAGAGGCCTATAACCGAAAAAATTAATAAATAAAATCTGATTGATATTTGCATTTGATTTTTGACTTGTAAAAGGGTACTTTTAGCTGTTTTACATTTAATATATAATATAGTATATAGAAGGTACAATAGTTTTTACACATAAAATATTTATAAAATATCGTATTCTATACCGTCTACTTACCTACGGCTAGCACCAAGGCAATCACAGAAACTGCGAATCTCCTCATTTTTTTTATTCTCGTTTTTAATATTGGTAAATACGGAATGAAAATTTGATAATAGAATTGGGCTTATATAGTACCTTCTCAAATAAATTATCAATAATTGCAATATAATTAAAGATTAATGAATTGGATGAAAAAGTTGTAAAAGTTTTATAGTAACACTAAAACACAAGTAATGACGTTTAGAATAAGTTAAGATTATCATAAGATATAGATGTTGCGGAGATATCGAAGATATTAAACCATAATAAGAAGCCATAAAAGTAAATTAAAGTAACTGATTCAGTATTCGATTCTACACCCAAAACTTGAAAAAATAGAGTTAATAATTCCAAAATTAATGAAAATATCTGTTATGAACCACTTTTCTGCAAGATTAATTGGCACAAAAAAACTCCTACATTATTTGTTACTGTATTTTTACTTTAGTAGTACAAATAATTCGATATTTCGCTCAAAAAAAAAGTAGGAATAATTAAAAGGAATAATTAAAAGGAATAATTAAAAACGTTTTAAAAACTGAGTTTTAAAAATGTTTCCGTTGAATTTTTTCAGGGCACAATATTTAACTTTAATTTATACAGAATGTGATTAAAATGTTAAAGGAGGATTCTTTCAAAAAAATATTGTTAAACATGAGCCTGGACAAACTTCATTTTTGAAAAACAACGTGCTAAGATTTACAAAATATATTTAATGTTTTTCAATTACTAAAAACGGCCATAGTCCCTCAAATTTTGCAATGATTTTCAACTTTTGTCACGTTTTTCTCGATAAATTCTCTGTACCTCTGTCCGGTAATCCGGTTTGAATTTCTGTCATATGAAATAAGGTCTCTACAATTTGGTAAATTTATATTACAATTTCTCAATGGACGTCTCCACCAGGACATTTCGAAGGGGCATTTTTTCTAAATTAACAGTTTAACTAGTTTAAACAGGTTACAACTTTTTAATTGTCCGATACTGGCATCTTTCTTATTTTAAGACATACAAAAATGGTTAAATGAACAAATATGTGCAGAATTTTATGCCAATCACGGATTCATTTTAAAATTTATAAAATTCCGAATTGTTCTGAAGATATTCGAAAGAAATCTATTTTATGTCTTCCTTTTAGTCTTGTTTTTAAAAATTTTAGGACAAAACTGTGTAGTCTGATATTAAATGATATGAGGAATTGTTTTTTGAACGTGAAAAACGAACTAAAAACACTTAAATGACATGACAAACACTAATCATTCGAGTATTTATTCGAATAAAGAAATTAATAATATTAGTCATCATTTTAATGATTTTATTTAAGTAAAAGCTCAAAATTACCTCCATTTTCACGAACACAGGCGCGGCATCTTTTTAGTAACAAAAATGTAATTTGTTCGAAATTTGTTTTGCTTGGATCTTTCTTCTAACTGCTCATCTAACTGCTCACGTGTATTAATTTGTTCACGGTATATCAGCCGTTTAACAGTACCACACAAAAAGAAATCCAGTGGGTTGAGGTATGGTGTTTTAAGTTCGTTTTTAAAGTTTAACTAAAAAAAAAAATAAGAGAGAAGTAATTTGTAGAAAATTGGAAGACGAATCCGAAAATATCATGATTGTTACCGTAAAGCATTGGCGTACTAACTTTATTTAGAAAAATATGCCACCTATATCTCCGCCACTTGAGCATCTAAAATTTCGAAAAAGGCCTCAGATTTTGAACAATGTTTACATAAATACCTGTGCCCGATTTCAAATTATTTCACTTACTAATTTTTAAATTATTTAAAAAGGAATAAAAATATTTTTTGAAGTTTAACATCTTGTATCTTTTTAACGAAGTGTCCTAGATAAAAACTTTATACGAAAGATTCCCCTTAAAATTCAAAGAATACGAGGTTTCATTTTTAAATCACCCTGTATTTCTACACTATGTTAAGGAAGGACATATATTTTTAAATCTCTCACAAAAATGATTTTTTTTTAAATATTTTGATAACGAAGAGGAACTTCCTGAGAGTATTATGGACAAAATAATAATTAACTACTTCTTCTGGAATTGCTTCATTTGGCAGCTGTAGTATGAAAGTTTGCAAATAAAAAATTATTTCCTCCAAATAATACTTTGTCCAATTTAGAAGAAATTTGATTTGCTCATACTGCATACTTTTTAGGTACAATTGCATTTACAAAATTATGAACATACTTAAAAATTACATTACCATAAATAACAAAATGAATATCTTATTCAAATATCGGAATTTACTTGTACTGTAATGTTTAACTTTAAATTTGCATGCAAAAATATTCTAGCGTTGAGAAAGATACAATAAAGCTGTGGTCAATTTTTAAAAGGTAGAAAAGTAGTATCTGAAGTTACTCCAACCTCAAGAAATACATATTCTTGGAGATGTAATCTTCTCAAAAATATTTTTCCTTCGTTTTTGACTTTGCACGATGCCTACAATTAAGTCTCACAATTCTGTCGATATACTAATGAAATAAGACGCGTTTAAACACATTTACTTTGCAAAACAAAATCGGAAGAAACACATTTGTTATGTTACAAATAACAAAAGTGGCATTCAAGATTTATTCCCGATAATAAAGAAAAATAACGAGACGTGTAAATGGATGGAAGCCAAATATTTAGGTCTTTTAAATGACCCAAAGTGACCGTCCGAATATCACCGTCTGCTAAAGATCCGCCCCTTACTGTGGGCCCAATAGAAACCGGAAGGAAACATCCATCCTTCTCCTTCTTCCATATCGACCCTTCCGGTTCACAACTGCTGAGAACGTTAAGCAATAACACAATCCGGACACTTTCAAGAAATAACTTGATCATTTAGTACAGACAAAGTGTCAGTGTAACGAAAGTATTGTTGAAGTTACACAAAAAAAAACAATTTTTTTCATGCGCCCTCATTACACAGAAAATACGTTTTTAAAATACCGACAATTTATTCAATATTCATGCCAACCGCCATGAATACAACAACGTTCATTAAAATATTAATTAAAGGCACTTAGAAGAAAAACGCTGTTCCTGAAAATAACAAATTTTTCACTCGTCAACGTTTTATTGTCCTTTCTGTTCCAGAAATAATGATCGTAGAGATCGTGAAAACTTACTTCATTTTTCTAATGGATGTATAAATATGCCCACGCAAAATGTCTCACCACAGAAGTGTTCATATTAAATAGTAACACTAAATATATGAGCTAAGAAAATACCTAAAAGTAAAGAAATGGGAATCATTGATTACAATTTTATACCAAAGGTCAATTTTTGGAAACTCTTTTTTTAAATTCATCGGATTAGTTTGCTTTTTACTCGTTGCGTCAATGGCTTGTATATCTGTGAATTGGAACACCATGAATAAATATTTACCTTTCACGTAGGCAACAGTTCTGAAAATGTACGTGTCAATGAACGAATTTAAGAAAACATTTAAATCTTCGTATATATATATATATATGTATAACATTGAACATACAATGTGTCCCGTTTTTCAGGTTAACACCTCTGGAAATGTGAGAAACTGTGGACTTTCCACAAGCCAATTTTTTTACAAATAGTACCCTGAAAGGAGGTTATATTCTACTAATAATTTTATTGATCTCACAAAAGCCTGGCTTACTACGATTTATTAAAAGGGTAATTTTTCCAGAAAGTGGTATTAGGCATTTTTTTATTAACAAGATAATATTACCAGGCTATTCGACACCCATCAAAATAACCATATACCAAATTTGAACGACAAATGTCTATTATAGAGCGTTTTGTTATGTGGCGCCAAACTTCGAAAAATCAGAACTAAAAATTGTAATAAGCAGGTCAAAGATTGCCATGAAAGTGAAAACAAGTACCAATCGGACAAAGAAAAAATACAGACACTATAAATTTAACACTTTTAATTGCAGCCACCCTAAAAATAATAATAATTAACGTACAAAAAATTTAGATAATGAATTATAAATACTGTTGAACAAAAAATTGCAAAACAAACTAAATTAAATTTTAGTTTTCTCGAACTATGGACTTTTGGGGTTTTATAAAACAAAAAGTTTATAAAAACAGACCAAGGAATTTGGATTACCTAACGAATTGCATAAGACAAGCTTGTGCAGAGATTACTCTTCAACAGCTAGGTAGGTATGTAAATTATTTTTAAATTTAAGAAGAGGATTGGAAAAATGTGTGTTCGAGTAGAAGGAGGTTTGGTGGAGAAAACTAAAATTTAATTTAGATTAACGTTTTGCAATTTGTTTGTTTAACAACTTAGTATTTATAATTCATTATATTTTTTGTAAGTTATGATTTTTATAATTAATTAATAATAATTAATTAATATAATTAAAAGTTTTAAATTTATAGTGCTTGTATTTTTTCTTTGTCCGATTGGTATTTGTTTTCACTTACATGACAATCTTTGACCTGCTTATTATAATTTTTAGTTGTCTGATTTTTCGAAGTTTGGCACCACATAAAAAACACTCAATAAACATTTGTCGTTCAAATTTGGTATTTTGATGGATGTGATATTATCCTGGTGATATTATCTTTTTGATAAAAAAATGCCTAATACTACTTTCTGGAAAAACGACCCTTTTAAAAAATCGTAGTAGGCCAGGATTTTGTCACATCAATAAAATGATTAGTAGAATATAACGTCCCTTCAGGGTACTATTTGTAAACAAATTGGCTTGTGGAAGGTCCACAGCCTTCTCACATTTCCAGAGGTGCTAACCTGAAAAACGGGACACACTATATAATTTTGTTTACATCGGGAAATTATACTAGTACTTAAAATACACATTTAAAATACACCTTGTAAACAAAAAAATGAAGAAAAAACTAAGATTTAAATGTATGAGTATATTTATGATATTTTTCCTCATACGAAATCAGATATCTATTAAAGTACTGGGTTATGTTAAGATTAATATTCAGTCTTTATTACTGGTAATTTCAAAATTCGGCATTAAAGAAAATGGCAGGGCTGTCTTTAAAAAAGTGATACGTCATTGGTAAGATTATTTTTTTCAAAATATCTACTTATTTTACTATAAAAAATGCTCGAG